TCTCTCTCTCTCTCTCTCTCTCTCTCTCTCTCTCTCTCTCTCTCTCTCTCTCTCTCTCTCTCTCTCTCTCTCTTCCTTTCTTTCTTTTTCTCAGACAGGGTCTCACTATGTAGCTCTGGCTGTCCTGGAACTATGTAGACCAGGGTGGTCTTGAACTCAGAGCCTCCTGAGTTCTGGCATTAAAGGCATGTGCCACAACACCTGTTATCCTAACGATTTTCAAACAGGCTTCCTTCCGTTACCTCCCATTACCTCAAAAGGTGAGGAAACACATCTAAATCACAAAGCGCCTCTGGAGTAAATAGGCCTGACAATAAGAAACTGTTAGGTTTCAAATCTGGGACAAATAGCTGGGGTGCCTAGTTAACACATCAAAGCAGACCTGGTCACCAGGTTCTCAGTCCCTACCTGTTACAAGGCCCTCTTGGCTGGCATATCCCGCCTCCTAGATTGAATTCTCCAGCCCAGGGGGCTGGGCTACTCTTCCCTATATAATCCAATCATTTTGACTACCCACTCTCTTTTTAATTAGGGTCTCCCTACTGCTGTGCGGCGTTCTGCTGCTCTCTCCCCTCCCATCCCCCAGCTCCCATCTTGTCACAGGGCACAGCACTGTCTGCTCAAGTCCACGCTGTACTCTCCCAGATGTCTCTGCCTCTGGCTATGCTCTCCCACATTCCTATAATAAAGCTTCTCCATCGTACCTAGGGCCAGTCATGTTCCTTTCCTTTTTATTTCTTTTCCTTTTTTTCATTCAGAAATGACTGGCTATATTGTGTTCTCAGAGAACAATGTTCGAATACATAGCTACTTAGTGAGGAAATCAGAGAAACAAGACCCTGGTGAGCGTGATTCAGGCTTGGGAGAGGAACGCCTCAAAATATTAAACGTATGCTTTGAAGTCCTGAGTCTTTTCCCCCCGTTTGGCAGTACTTGACAATCAGCATAAAGAAGTAGAAAACTAATTTAGTTTGTGGAATTTAAGCAATGTGGAAATTCAGCAGTTTACTATTTTAGGAAATGTATTACCTGATATTGTGTGCTCTAAATATTAGAGTCACGTCATGAGAGAAACTTGATTTAGTTTTGTATTTGAAAACACGAAATCTTCTGTTGTTTTTTTTTAAATACTAGTTTTATATCAAGAATCGCGTTCTCTTATCTCAGCCCCTCGGGGTTTGCTTCTTCAAATGGCCTGATGGGGACCTACAAAGGTTTCTAAAAGGCGATGACTGACTGGAATTAAGTGCTTCGACAAAGGAAAATTTTGTAGAAATCTCTCCCATTTCACGTCGCTAAACTTAAGTACAATAATGTCACATGTACTTATACAGTAATTGTGGGCACGCCTAAGTCCCTCCCTCTCTCCTTGAACCAATATCCCCACATCTTAGAAATCCAGCCCTTCTGCCCTCCGGAGGCGCCTTTCCCAACGTAAAGTACGATTTTAAAATTTAAGCTCCGGACTAAAAGAATGATCCGCAGTCAACTGCTGGGGAACCTGGGCGCCCCAGTGCCTGCGGAGGGTGCAGTCGGGTGTGGGCACGGACAGGGGGAGTGGGCGAAGCTGCTGGTTGGTGCCTGAAATCTGTGCGTTGCCCCTTTAATTGTGTCCTCAGCCCTCGGGCGTTTCTGTCCAACGCCCACGTCAGCAAATACCTTTTGTTTCTCCCACGTTGGGGCTACTTGTTTTAGGGCGCAAAGCCTCGGCTTCGGAAGGGGGTGCTTCCCCTACCGAGAACCGGGAATCGCTCCGCAGCGCGCGAGAGCGAGCGAGCCGCCAGAGCCCCGCGGACACTCCTCTGTTTGTGAACTTGGTGACTTGGAGTCCTTCCTCTTTGCCCTTCAACAGTCCCAAGGTTTCAAGAGTAGCATCGTCCATTTTCAGAATGGAGATCTCCTCTCACCAGTCTCACCTCCTGCAGCAGCTGAACGAGCAGCGCAGGCAAGACGTGTTTTGCGACTGCAGTATTCTAGTCGAAGGCAAGGTCTTCAAAGCGCACGGGAATGTGTTGTTTGCGAGCAGCGGCTACTTCAAAATGCTGCTTTCTCAGAACTCAAAGGAGACAAGTCAGCCAACCACAGCCACGTTTCAGACCTTCTCCCCCGATACCTTCACAGTCATCCTGGACTTTGTCTACTCTGGCAAACTCTCTCTTACTGGACAGAATGTTATAGAAGTGATGTCCGCCGCGAGCTTCCTTCAGATGACTGATGTCATTAGTGTGTGTAAGTCTTTCATTAAGTCTTCCTTGGACATTAGCGAGAAAGAGAAAGATCGCTACTTCAGCCTCTCAGATAAGGACACGGGCTCTAATGTAGTAGAGCATTCCTCTTTTTACAGTAGCAGCTGGCAGGAAGAAAGCGGGTCTCCCAGCTCTCACCTGAGCCCAGACCAAAGACCAAGTCTAGTAAGTGGAAAGCCATGGAACAAGTACGGTTACCACCCAGCCTCCCACATGGGTCCTCAGCAACCATTAGCCAAGCACGAGCAAAGGAAGGACCCCATTAAAAAGACCAAGCATTTGAGATTACCACAGCCATCTGAAGTTGTTCATTTTAAGTCTGGCAAAGGAGATGCTCGGCCCTCC